CAGGTTTAGTGCTCGCAGGGGTATTTTTGTAATTTTGTAGTCCTTTTGTGTTGTACGGCCAGTATAGTATAAATACAAACGCTACACTCGCATGAAGCAGTTCTTTTGAGGCCTTAAGTCTGCAGCCTCTTCTCTCTTCTTCTTCTTCTTCTTCTTCTTCTTCTTCTTTTTTGCTCAACAATAACCATCCTCCTACTTTCTTCTAATTGAACTAAAGCATGCACTTCTTGAAGACCCGGTAGTTCTTTTCCACCCAAGATCTGAATGTGTAGAGGCTCATAGATTGAACTCAGACTTGCCAAGAAAGAAAATACACATTGTTGTGACACCAACTTTCTATAGGCTGCAAAAGTCTTGTTTCCTTGTTTGAGGACTCAACTTTGAGTTGATAGACTTTGTGCAAAATGCCTCTGTTCTGAGTATGTTGCCTTAGCATGCTCCCAAGTTTCCTTGGCAGTGTCATCCCACATAAAGTTCTTCCTGAGAGCATGTTGAATGGTGGAGACAAGCCAAGACCTTATTGTGTAATTTTCTTGCTCCTGCTTTTCATGATCAGTCCCATCAGCAGCAGGTTCTTTAGTTTTTCCAGTGAGATATCCCTGGAAAATATCCCAACTTTCCCCTTCCTCCAATAAACATTTTCACAGCCTTGCACCACTCCAAGTAGTTGACACCATCAAGAGGAACAATAGAGATTGGAAAACTCATATTGTCCATACTACTGCCAGGTAGGGACTGACTTCCTAAGGAAATTGAGGTGGCTTCTGAAGACATTATTTTAGACACAAAAAATCACCCTAACACACTGCTGGAAATTCCCGACAACAATTGCAGCAACACAAGATGGTAGACTTCCTTCACACACCACTAGCAGCCCCATGACTGCAAAAGTAAATAGTTGAGACTCTAGCAACAGTACTGTATCACTCAGATCACAACTGGTCCACAAAATCATCTATGCAGCAAACAATTGCAAGGCATCTACCATGGATACTGAATCTCTAAAGCTGTAACATCAACCAACCCAGTCTGCTGTAACCAACTATCTCCTTTCAATGGTCAAGAACTGATCTAATCTAGCAGAGAGAATACTTCCCCACATAGACAAAGTGATCACAGCACTTACTAGGGACTTCTTAAGGAATGGGAGCTGACTTATGGGTCACCATGACATTGATTTGATCACTACCAACAGAAAATGGAAACAGATCAGCCTCTTACATGTTCTGGTCACTTGATACAGGGGTAAACCTTCTCCTACAACCAAGGAAGAATAAAGAATAACAAACCAAGTGGTATAATCAGATCTGGAAGTGGTTGCTTCTGTCCTTGCAGATTTCTTGTAGTAAGAGCTTGTTAAGAGGAGAAAAGGTCTTATCTGTGACTGATAGTGCTCTGGTACCATGTTATCTTTCAAGAAGACAGTAGAAGAGAAAGAGTTGCAAAGAGAAGAAGAGAGATATGAACAGATAATAGAATGAAGAGAATTTTAGGTATGCGTGTGGCAGTGTCCCCACAACCCTTTTATATTGACAAACATAGTAAATGATAAAATGACATCACTGCCCTTACGTCTAATACAATGAATCTGACAACAGCCATCGCTAGTGAGCAATACCGGGGGCACTTATTCTCAATCTCAATCCCTCCTTCCAGGGTGCATCCTGGAACTTGAATCCTAAATGAAAACATGGGACAGAAGCATGCATATAACGCTTTTGAAGAATCTAGTATCCAGTGTAATATCTAATTCATCTTTAGGCTATCTATTTAAAACAACTTTATCTCTACATTCTTTTTCCAATAATGACCTATATTTGTTTCAGAAGTAGTATACTCTTCAATAGGCAACTTATATTTTTGTTTCAGAAGGTGTATGCTATTTATGCTGTAGGCAATTTATTTCTAGGTCCATTACCCAGTGTTTGTTCACACTATCTGGGTGCTTGGGAGGGGTGCACTGGATATGGACCTAACCTTTGGCATTTTTTTGCACAAAGTGGCTGCTCTCAGACTTGAACCCACATTCTTATTCTTTTCAGCCTGGGATTTTACCATTGCACTAAGAAGTGACCCTCATTTAGTGTCTATGAATATTATTAAGTTTGTTCATCAGTCTGGTACTTTTACCCAAATGGTAAGAACCTTTACATACTGCAGTTTCTTTCTTGGAAGGTAAAGTAGCTAAAGTTTAGTTGGATGAGTTTACTTCCCACGGAAAGTGTTTTCTTTTTCAGCTATAATAAATAATAGACAATTCCTTGCAATTCTATATTTGGGTCTTGAGGATTATTAATTATATATATACTTTTTACAGCCACTGGCAGATGCTTATGGGCTACTCATGCATAGGAATGGTCAGTGGGAGTGGACACTTGCACCTGGGGTGTCTCCTTCCCCAAGGTACCAACATGCTGCGGTAAGTGATGGCTATAAAACTAGGTTTTCTTTTTTTTTCTTTTTTACATTGTTACTAAATATAGTTGTACAATTTTAAATGCAAGGCCTCTTTTTGATATTTGAGGCTAAATGCTCCCTATTGACATATTTAGGATCATGCATTATTGTACATGGTGTTGTCAGTTGGCCCATTGCATTAACATGTTAGTTTGTTTTCTTTTTTTAATCTTTTTCCTTGAGCAATGCAACCTGCTGTTTCTGGTTAATAGGTCTTTGTTGGAGCTCGATTGCATGTTACTGGAGGTGCACTGAGGGGAGGACGATCAGTTGAAGGTGAAGCTGCTATTGCAGGTAAGTAATCTGTTCTCTTTTTGCTACCTCAGCACTCTCGAGTTTCATAGTCCATTACTGTGAATCATAATTCTTCTTCTTCTTCTAATTATTATTTTATTTTCCTTTTTAAGTGTTGGACACTGCTGCTGGAGTATGGCTGGATAGAAATGGGATTGTGACTTCCTCCAGGACAGGCAAACCTCCAAATGAGTATGATGCTTCCTTGGAGCTTATGCGCCGTTGCCGCCATGCATCTGCATCAGTAGGTGTTAGGGTATATATTTATGGTGGTCTTAGAGGAGGTAAATACTATGCAGCAACGTAGTTAAGTTTTTTTTTTTTTTTAATTTCTCTGAAATAACTGGAATATGCTGGTATCCTTCTAATATGGAGTTGTCAGATACTAAATATAGGCTGCAGATGCACCCAAATTACTGACTTCTGCAGCTTTTTGTTTTGAAGATTCTCTTAGTTTTTGAACAAAAAATCTCATTACACACACATAGACACTCAAACTCAGCTAGTCAGCTCTTTTTTTTTTTTTATTTTGGGGGGGGGGAGATAAACTCAACTCAGCCTCAATCCCAACTATTTGGGTTGTCTACATGTGTCCTGTCCCACCATTTTCATCTTTCTAGAGTCATGTTTTCTGTGAAGTTGTAAGTTCTTGAATAATTTCCTTATCATTTGAGGTAATGTTTTCCTTACTTGGTAAAATGAAATGGTTGAATAATTGAAAAATGAGATTATTCAGGAATACACATTGAATGCTGAGATTACGCATTGAATTTCTTGTAGTAGATCCATAATCAAAAAAGTGTTTGTGATTGTTCCAGAAGAAATGAAACAAAAGATACGGTAGAACTAGGACAGTTATTGTATGAGGTCTACCCAATGCTAGATGCAGAGGCGCATAATAGATCGATATG